TTATAAAATAAACAGTGGTATGTTTTCTACACGATGGTTGAATTGCTGAAGATAGAATGATAATTCTATTGCAGTTCATAGTTTTGCATTGCTGAATTCAAAATTGTGTGTCTCCTATCCATTTCTTTCTAGTTATTAACTTCTTCTTTGCATACAGGAGGAGTTGGTGATCTATTCTTTGATTTAACTGTGTCTTCTCCACCATCTTTGCCATGATTTCCCTTCCGCAACTTGAACACTATCTATATTCTTGCAAAATTTCAGTTCCCAATCCATTTCAAGAGAGTTGAGTCCCAATGAAAAGGTCATTTGAGGATAAAGCTGGGCCTCCCAGCATTTTTTCCTCTCTCTTCCCTCATTTTTTTTTTCCTTTTTGGGGAGGCCAGCAGGACTTGACAGTTTTCACATTTCCTTTGATGATAACACAGTTTTGGCAATGTGCCAGAGAGCTGCAGGTCTCCTTACAGAGCGCTTTGCATGTAGCATGTTAAGTCTATGGCTGAGACAGCAAGAGCGGGAGGAGGGAGAAAAATACTGCTTGGAGAAAGAGGGGATGAAAGGAGGGGAAAGTAAGGGAACGACTGAGGCCTAGTATATATTTACTAACCGGGAATAGAGGAGATGAGATACCAAACAATAGCTAATCACTTATGAGTGATTAGCTCTATTTGAAGAAAATAGAGGCCATTTCTCCTTATTTTCATATGTCTTCTCTTGCTTATATATCTATTACTTGCCCCAATTGTTCTGGCGATACTTTTTATATAAAGGTTTAAAGGTTTCCCCTGCCCGGTCATGACAGATTCAAAAAGATGGTGCTCATCTCCAATTCTCAGCTGAGGGAGCCTGTGTTGTCTAAGAGATGCTTCTATCATCATGTGGCCAGCATGAAAATATGGAATGCAGTAACTTTTCCCACCAAAGTGGTACCTATTTATCTACCCACATTTTCATGCTGCTAGATTGGCAGAAGCTGGGGCGAATAGTGGGAGCTCACCCCATCACATGGCATTCAGGTCTCAAACCCAGGCTGTCAGCTATCGTCTTAATCACTGAATCATTGCACTGCCCCTTTCTATATAATATTCCTGCTACCCATCTTAATATAATCTTACCCAATACAGTTCCTGCCATTTGCTACATGTATAAACATGGAGTGTTAGTGTGTCATAAACATGATAAAAACTAATAGATGCATTAGGACATCCTTGTTTTAGTTTTTCTGAAGGAGAGGTAGGAAACTTGTGACTCTTCACAAGTTTCTGAATTTCAGCTCCCCTCACTTTAATCACCATGATGGGGGTCTGATAACTTTAGTTGGTGGGGGCATATATTAGGAAGAAATCAACGTAAACATTTCTAAATTGGGAGGTCCAAGGAATCGACTAAGCCAAAATGTATAGGGAAATGACAGATTGTATAAATGTTCACCATGTTTCAAGACTGCATATGGAGAACAAATTTTAGAGCTAAATCTTGCTTTTGAGCCAGCTACAGCAGTTCCTCAGCTCTAGTTCTGTGCTAGGAAGTAGATGATCCTATTTAAGCCATGACTCTCCCATCCTTGGGTTTGTATATCTTTCTAACAGGGAGGTTTATTTCTGATGGGCAAGTCTTTATTTAAATTTATGCATAAGTAGGGGACGACAGAGAATGAGATGGCTGGATGGAGTCACTGAAGCAGTAGGTGTCAATTTGAATGGACTCCAGAAGATGGTAGAGCACAGGAAGACCTGGAGGAACGTTGTCCATGGGGTCGCGATGGGTCGGACACGACTTCGCAATTAACAACAACAACAATGCATAAGTAATGGTGTTCACTTTGAAGTGGAGTTTTTAAAACTTCCTTCCCCCATCTCCTTCTCAGCCTGGTTCCTGTTTTAACTTAGGTGCTTGTTTTCTTTGTGACCATCTTGTCTAGAGATCCTGAGCTTCAGCACGGGATTTCGACAGGTTTTCTGATATTGCTAGGCATAGAAAGAACCTTCTGTTTTCTCTGCAGCACAAGACACACACAGGGCTGTTATGGAATCAAATGCCAATACTTTTATGAAGCTCCATTGATACTGATCGGCTTTTCTCAGTCCAGCTCCTGGGGGTGTAGTGGGCTTTTGGCTGTGCAGCTCTAGAATTCTGGTGCTGCAAGCCTGTCATATCTGGGGGATTCAAAGTTTGCTTTTCAAGAGGAATTTTATAAATTCATAGAAGAGATTTCTCAGCATCTGTCAGCAGGGATAACATAACTGAACTAGGACAAGTTCAAGGCATTTTGCTTGGGGTCAAAGGCAAATGGGTGCTTCTATTGTTTTTTGTTCTTCTCTGAAGTTGATTGAACAAAGAGTTCAGCTTTCTTTTATTCCTGTTAATGAACTAGAGAGGCAAGGTCATTTAGGGTTCACGAAACAGTGGTTCCATGAGCATCAGCTTGTACTGTCCAAGACTGCTGTCTTATTTTGCCTAATGGCAGATTCAGTGGTGAACCACATCTCCCTTTTCATATAGCTCTTTATACCTGATGATGAATGTAGACAAGAGGATGTAGTTCTGTGTTCACAAAATTCACAAAATGATTTGGTTTGATTGTTGTGTGAGATGGACTTTGACTTTCATTTACCACATATCACTTGCACACGCTATTTCAAAGAGACATGTTCCATTGGCTCAGATTGTTGAGTTTAAAGTCCTATATCCACTTTTCAGCTTGGGCATGTATACACATTAGAGCTGCCCATAAGACACCAAAACTGATACAGAAACTATCTGGCTGCAGCTCCAGGCTAAATGACTGATTGCATTTACCTACTGTGGACCACTGTTTTTCAATTTTTGGATTCACACATCAAATGAAATAGTATTATAGTTTCCTTATAAATTATATTTATCAAACAACTATGGCTTTTAAAATCCTCACTTAGTGAATTCAGCTATGAAATACTGGAACAGAAGTATATAGCAGAATGTTGGTTAAAGAGTGAGCCAAGTTTGATTTATTGATTGTATGCTGTCTAGTCATTTTCAGCTCCTAGCAACCACATACATAGATTTTCTCTATGACAACCTATCCTTAACCTGTTCTTTTATGTCTCCCGATAGAGCACTCATCACCACTGTAACTAAATCCATCCACCTTGCTGCTTGTCATCCTCTTACCTTCCACCTTTCCCAGCATTTAAAGCCCTCCCCAGAAAGCTGAGTCTTTCTAAAATGTGTCTAAAGTAGGATAATTTGAGCTTGGTCATTTGTGTCTCGAGTGACAACTCTGGATTAATTTGATGATCAATCAGTTGGTTTTCTTGTCAGTACCCTCAGCCAAGTTACATGTTTCTAATGTTTTTTAATAATACAATAATGGGTTCATTAATTATATCCCCTACCATTTAATAGATGAAATCTACCAAGCCTTACAAGCAAACAAAAAAAAATTGTTAGCTTTTTTCAATGTCCATTTCTTAGTAATAAAATAGTAATAAAATAATAAGAATCTATAATACTTTTAAGTATGCTGTAAGATATTATGGTACGGTAATACATACAATGACTCTTATGTGATAGAAAGATAGAAAGACATTGCTGTTTATACTGTTACCATTCTTAACTTGTAGAAGGAGTTAAAAGTGAAATGTAATTTTTTTTAAAAAAAAGTCTTGAACTTATCTGCCGGGGACTTACTGATTTATAGCTCACATTCTTGATAATTATTCTAAACTAGTTCTGAAGAGTTGCAGTCAAGAACATGGAACATAAAAACAAATATTGCATCTCAACATTTTCAGTTCTTTAGAAAATCAGTGATATTTATTCGGTCAATGACCAGCAAAATTTAAAAGAACAAAACAAACAAAAGCTGTGTGAAGCAAATAATGTGTTAACTAATATACTATACCAATAGTATACTTTAGGAAAGATTAAACATCTAGGCTTTAGAGAAGAGCTATGGAAGAGAAATTTTGAACTCCTATTAGCTGTAGTAATAAAAAGGGATAAGGAGACTTGATGTGTAAAATATAAGAAGAGCACAAAGTTATTAGCATCTGCACTACTCAGTCAGACATATGCCAGAACGCAACTGTTTAATGAGTCTGCCATATTTGACCTGCAGAAATCTTGTTGACCACTAGATGGCAAAAAAGAGTTAGAATTTGCTGAATTTCATTCCTATTATTTAGTCACTATCCAGATTTTTGGAGTCAAGGCTGGGATGCCTAATATTCTTTAATATCTTATTAAACTCTGACTCTTGGCCTTTCCCCTTTACCAGGATAACATGCTAGCCTCCCATCATTGGGCATGGAAGAGAGGCAATAATTTAAAGTAGTTTGTCCAAATCTTTACAGAATGAGTAACAGAATTACAGTGAAGAATCTGACTGGGGATAGGGAGTGTGGGAGAGTGTCTCACATCGACTAAAGCATTCAAAAGGCTCTTCTCCAATCATTCCACCACTGGTTACATGACTTTGTTTCCAGCATCAGAAGTGGTAAAAAATAATTAATTTCATACACTTTTAGGGTGCTGATGAATAATATGAGAATAAGGGGAGAAATGCTGCTTTAACACCAGTACAGCAATGGATGTCTAGAGAGAAGAGGAAAGCACCATCACAGGAAGAAAGGAATAATGCTGTTGTCAAAGAATAGTTCTGCCTTGGTTAAATGCATGTTGAATTCAGCCAATGTGTCAATGCTCAAAAATATTTCTTTTTTTCTTCCTCCTGTTTTTTTTTCACTTGACATATAAAATATATCCATAATAAGCAGGCATGGACAAAACTATATTTCATTTATATATTTCATCCTGCATGTTGTATGGTTTTGAATTGCAAAAATTGAGCACTTGGGAGGAAAGATTCAGAAATTGGGTAATTTTATAACCAGCATGTTACATGTATATGTCAGTGAATTAGATTTTTTTAAAAAAAAATGTTGCAAAGTCAAGGGAATGGGAAGGACTCAAGATAAAAATATGAATAAGAAATCTGTTCTTTCTTTTTATCTTTATAGGGTCTCATCTTCAACCCAGAATGCTTGCAATTTGCCAACAGTGAAAGAGACCACAATGGGGCTTGCCTCATAGCATAATAGCCTCTCCTCCCTCAAATCCCAAATCCACATCTGTCGTGGCGACTGTGGAGTGTTGCCTCTGGGGGCGGAGCCCACCTTGGTCTCTCTTTATTGGTCCTGGATGGAATTGCGGTGAATGGAACAGAAGCCTAGCACGGTGGAGTGCCTATCGGAGCCAGAGGACACCCGGTAAGGCTATCAAATTGATGGCAATCTACAGAGCATTAAAATAGTTAGATTTCCTTCAGTGGTAGTTTCAAAGCCTCTATTTAGTTCTGAATTTGTTCTAGAAATGCACATGGCAAAAAGCTCCATTCTTGTTGATGAAACACACTAATAAGTAGCCTTGTGCTGAAAATTAAAAATTAAATTTCTACAAAGATCTCAGGGATCTTTGAATACTCTTGATTCTCAGTTATCCCATTTCTGATTGTCCTGCAATATCGCATTAACTTTTAGGGGGAGGAAAGGGGACTATATAGTTAAATCTCTATGATTTTAGTGTTTTCCATTTGATGCTACCTCTGCTGTTTTCTGCATTCACATCCCGAAACATACAATTTAGCATCATATTTAGTATTCAATGTACTTTTCACTGCTTTTTTAAAAAAGTAGATCTGAAAAATTGGGCAACTTCTCACTACCAGCTTTTTTTTATTGTAAGTCTTTCCTCATGGCTCAATTAAAATGCTACTTACTCATCCCTGAACCAGCAGAAAACTAAACAGGCATAAAACTTGTTGACTCCTATTCTTCCCCTCTATCCTCAGTTCTGGTGACATCCTGATTTCAGTGTACAGGCATGTTAAGCAAAGCCTTTTGTTAAACCTTCTGCTTTTGGCAGTCTTCCCTTTTCTGAAAATCACCAGCTGGCAGCAAATGGTCACAAGCATTGCTAAACACCAGAGATTTAGTGAAAACCCAGTACCTCCCCAAGTTTACTATATGAAGCGATGAAACAGGAGTGATACTTTCAAACCTGCTCCATCCCAGGCTCCATAAACCAGATATCAGAGATGCTTGTTTTAAGAATTAGTTTAATGCTTTTTTCAAAGGAGCACTAAACCCACTTGAAAACAAGCCTATGGGCAAATAATAATGGGGGGGGGAGGAGGAATCTTCTAGCAGTGACATCAGCTCTTTTTACACAGAGAAAAAAATGAAGGGAGCCATAAGGGACAGAAGGGAAAGGATCAGGGCTTTTTTTCTCATAGAATGCCCAGAACGGAGTTCTGGCACCTTTTTTGGATGGAACCTTGTAGGGTAGGCAAGGCGGGTTGTATGATGTCTATGAGTTCCGGCACCTTTTTTTTTTTTTTAATAGGAAAAAAGCACTGGAAAGGATTGTATACACCAAAATAAACTATAGGTAGTTGGCTCATCCTTCTCCCTTGAATCATCTGTCTGTACTTTTGCCAACATGGATAGTTAAAATTAACAGATTATATGCATCCTGAAATTATCACTGGTTTCGATCAACTGAAGGGAAAACATCTGTACAGCTAACCATGACTTAAGGCTGTCTTGTGTACTGTATGGACTGAGGACAGGAGAAAGGCAACACTATGGGGACATAGCAAATTAGAGATGTTGCCGGGGAATGAGTTGTACTTTGATAAGATGTAAATGAGAAAAGCTGGGTTGTTCTTGTTCTTATTTTAATCAGAATTAATTATGAACTAGAAAAGTCAGTAGGCAGCTCCTAATTGTTAGTGTGAGGATAATATTGCATTACATTACTGCAATGGTTCTCAAAGCATGCCTTGTGCCTCCTTGCTAGTCATGAACAAATTTGAAGGGCACTCTCCCTGCCCTGCTCAAATGCAATAATATTTTGTAAAATTGCTGTCTCTGGACTGGCTGTGCAGAGGTTCAGGTACTTGGACATTCCTTCAGTGTCCTTTGCACTCACAACAGTGGCTCCTGCAAAAATCATGGCTTGTTTCAGAGAGCTATACAAAATAACCTGTCCAGGATCTCTTGCCTAATTTTTTTCCTCTATTTTCCTTTAAAGTAGCTGTTCCTCATCTTCTTCATGGGCTTTAGGTTGGGTCTTGACATTGAACCTAAGTGTCCTCAAGTGGGCAAAGGAGTGCATTTCTGCTTCTTGCAAAAAGGCAACACTTGTAGCAGGGAGCCAGCATACTCTGTTGCAAATCTTTCTGAAGCCCATCTCTTGTACTTTTTCCTCCCAAGCATGGAGACAGCTTTCTTACTAGTAGATATTTTTCAGTAAAGGGGTAATACCTCCCTGTTTGTAGTACTTTAAGAAGAGATTGGATAACCATTTGTCTGAAATGTTATAGGGTTTCCTGTTATAGGGTTATAGGGGACTGGACTAGAAAGACCTCCAAGGTCCCTTCCAACTCTGTTTTTCTGTTATTCTGTTATATCACATGGCCTGTTTTTTTTTATATATTATTCTTGGCTAATTCATATGTGGTTCACAAAAAATAGGTTAACTAAGGTTGGGGTTACATAAACTAATTATTGCTGAGAATCTTGGGACCACAAGATTGAAGAATCCTTCTATTACTAAAATCTAGAAACTTTGAGAAATAGTGTATTGCTTTGAAAATATTGCATTGAAATCTTTTGTTTCAGCAACTTCTTCTTTACTGTTGGACAAAGAAACAAATCAATAATCCTTCAGGTGTGCTTTTTTGCTGTAAGTGGAGTTTTCTGAGCATACATTCCCCTTTGAAGGAGAACCATATCTCAAACGCAGGCCTCTATTCATAGGACTGCCCTGTGAATGGGTGCTAGTATGTGGCTGAAACTGCTAAATTGCCCATGTGGGTGTGTGAACAAGGCTATGAGTGAAAATACAGATTGATGTGAAGACTGAAAATAAAAGTAGAGGATCCAAAGTCTTCCAAATAATGTTTAGTGGTATTAGTAGGAGAGTTCAATTTCATAACTAGTTTTAGATATACAGTGAAAAGCAGCCTTATTTTTCTGCTATTTAGAAGTAAAGGTTCATCAATATACTCCTGTAGATTTCTTCTTATCCATTTTCTTTACCTGGGCTGATTCACATAATAACATTAGCTGAATTGAAAGAACCTTAAAAAAATAGGTAAAGAAAATCAAGTGGTTTAGAGACCTTGCTGAGTGACCTGAAAAATATCTACAGGTTATTGGTAATTGCAGACAATATGCTGTCTGTCTCTGATTTAGGTTATTAGAAAGAAGCCATCCTCAACTCTGTCATCTTTGAATTCTTTTAACCCAAACTACAATCTGATGACTTCTAGATGTAAAACTTCAACCTGACACAAGCACGTACTCTCTTCTGTTGATTTTATTGTTATGTTATTTATATATATGATGGGTGATTATGGGAAAAGTCGGTTACTTTTTCTGGCCCATGCTACACCCCCAAATTATCCAAGATCTCTTGAGACTTCAGTGATTTACAGTATTTGTGATTTAATTGGGGTGCCACAGATTGGAGATTCCAACAAAGGTCCTGGATTAGAACAAGGTAATGATTTCAGCAGACAACTTCCTTGCGATATGTAAGGTCTTTTCCCCACTCTTATGTGTGCATATTCTCTAGCTAGACACTTCATAGATTGAAGCTGAATGTGTGAGTTTATCTCCATTGAAAAGTCTTGTTTCTAAGATTGTTGGAATAGTCCTATCTGTAATTATTGGTTTTTATTACTATTTTGTGGATTTTCATGTCTTACTGCAATCACTACAATCACTGAGAGGCAAATATGTTTATTAAAACTTAGCGTGGCACACACATTCTTATGTAGAATCTCTCTATCCTAATTTTATTTAAAAAAAGTTTAAGATTTTGCATACATCAGAAGTAGCCAATGTCCAACAATAAGTGAAAAGCACATTTTTTTGTGAATGTGGCTTATAAATTTAGCTGTAGCAATTAAGGATTAACTACAGATGATCATATACAAACGGTAATCAAAGCTGCAAACAACTTCATATTAAAATTCAGGGTATAAGTTTATGTAAAATAATTGGATTAGTAACCTTTGTGACATCTTCTGAAACCTGAATTCTAGTTTTCTGAGGTGGTAACAAAATTAATGTGGTAAAGCTGAGGTGATAACATTCCCCTTCCCCATTAATGTCTTGGGAGGCAGGTAATATTGTGTATGTGAAAAAAAAAATATGTAAGCCTACAGGCATGTGCAATATGCACAGAGGTTGCTGTCATGTCATGATCTGATAGAGAAGTTTGTTTTCAGCCAAGTTTGTGAGGTAATTTCCAAATGCTATAACTAGAGGTTGTCAATTTCACACTGCAGTATCCTCGGTTCTTGTTTGTTTGTTTCCAGAAAGGAAACTGAATAACAAATCTGGCATTAGGTTAGGAATGTGAAGTCTTAAGAAACTTCAGTGGGTTTGTTTGTTTTCATATATTTCTCCATATTTTATTTTACTTTTAGAATAACAACAAAAGGTTTGACAAAAGAGATTCAGCCTGAAAAACAATTAGGAAAAACATTTGAGAGAAAGGGCTGGCCAAGTATATTCTAGTAGTCAAATGATATGTATTAACTTGTCCCAGTCACATATACTTTATCTCCATTTCAGTTTCCCAAATCATATTTGCTACTCAGCCTGGGAAATAAATTGTGCTATGACATATTTGGGTAGTGCGGGCAAGATAGACTTCTCTGTGCTTGTGTTCACATAACACTCAGGTCAGTTATAAATCAACAGATGTAGTCAGCTATCTGCACTAAGATTAATTTTAACCCTCCTTATTTTTCTTTTTAATAATTTCAGTGTGATGATGTGAAAGTTATTTGATTTCTTTAAGGTTAGTGCATCCCACATAGTGCAGTATAAATGTTAAATGGATAAAATGCCTGTTATATCTAGGCTGCTGCATTATGGATTGCTTTTAACTTTCAAGTGGTTTTTAAGGGCAGCTCCGTGTGTAGCAGATTGCAAGAGTTGAAACATGAGGTACAAGGGATGGTTAACTATATCTTCAGTTTGACCTTGGATGGAGATACACAGCTGGATATTATCAACACACAGATTGATGACCTTCCTCATAGCTTTATGTAGATATTGTAAGGGAAAAGGGAAGGGTGCCTCAAACTCTACAACAGAGAACTAGCAACTCCACCTCTTCTCCTCCAGTATCAATTAGAATCACTCATGGAGGGAGGATGATTATCAAGGACGGTTGAGAAATCCAGCAA